CTTCTGGGGTCTATGCAGACGACTTAACCAGCTAGGCCATTGAGACTTTGTTGGGAATTCAAATCCGATTGAAGCACCTAATTCTTTCTCAATCATGCGTATTAGACAGCACTAGTCATTGATGCATGGCAAATAACAGAGATCAATATGATACGCCCTCTTCTTAGCAATTTACGACAAGACAAGATATCTGGTGTAAATAAAGGCCAAAAAAAAATAAAAAATGTTAGTTTGTCCTCCTCCACCCGCCCCTAACTCACTGAAAAAAATAGGGGAGGAAAAATAAAAAAACTTAAAAAAAGTTTTTTCTTTACAAAATGGGATTTAATTTATCTTTATTTTTTGCCAGATGCCCTACAAATCAGTCTGAAGTTGTTGTCTGATGCAAGATATTGCTATTCTAGGCCTCTTTGGGTTATTTTTAATAAATTCCATTTGACAAAGATACTGTTCACTCATGTTTCCTTAACAGCTTTAATAGGAATTATTGCAAGAATCTTAACAACACACATTTAATATAGGATTATAATCTTTCTACTTTTTTTTGTGGCAATGATAAAAAAACAGAATGATAAGTCTATTATATTATGCTGCCCATTTATGGAATGCTTATTATAAATAATATCAAATGTGCTTAGTAATGTTGACCTAAAAATAATGCTCTCAAAAGAATTTACTATCTGTTTGTACTAACAATTGTTTCAAAAGTGTAACAGTTGTGTGTTTATGCAACAATTGCTAGTATGGGCAAATATATACAATTGTAATACCAATGTAGACATTTTATTTTTACTACAAATTGCAAGATGCCAGTGGCAAATTCAAGGGTGCCATTCCTGGCCATCTAAAGGTGCCATAATCATGAATTTTCTTTCCTCAGCCCCTACCATGGTGGGGCTGAGGTGGGTGGACCCTCTATCTATGAATGTCCTTCCCTAAGCCCCCTCTATTTAAAATTCCCGGATCTGCCACTGGATGCATCTCAGTATTTCGAACTAGCTTAGAAATTAATACATAAATAAATTATTTAATAGACAGGCATTAAGATTGTAATCAGCATGTATTGAAAACATGCTGCTAAAAGGCAAACAACTTGCTTTTTATGAAACAAAAATAAACAATAAAGGTTCTACACAGCAAAAACCGAACCCCTCCACTTATCAAACATTGAAGATATTTTGTACAGTTTATTATGATTAAGAAACAAAATATAATTTAAAGTGTCTGTATACATATTAATTGCTTCATATGTACATTAAAAAAAATTAATCTTCAACATTCAGATATCTGACTTATTTACTTTAACAATGACCGGTGCTCCCTTTACAGGCGATGAAACGGCCGTGGTAGTGAGACGTAAGTTATCACGCACAAAATTCCGTTGTTTACCCCTCTTAAGCGGCACATTATGTGGTCCTGCAATCGGCTTTTGCGAATGACCAGAGGGTGGTGTGTACTCTGGAGTTGTTCCAATCACATCGTACGTCCATTGCATTTCAGATGTCTTTAAAAATAATAATTAATTATATTTTTTTAAATGTAAAATTAAGTGAATTCAAATATTACTTAAAGCTAGGCTCTGGAGAAAAATCAACTTTGGATACGTTGTACTACTGATATAAAAAAGAATGGTTCATGAGATACAGATTTTTGAATATTAAAAACTGGGTGAAAATGGTGGCAAAAAAAGAGTGGTTACGTCCCTTTTCCCCCAGTTTCAAATATTCAAGGAAAACCATTTTAGTGTGTTGTAAAACTGATTTTTCTAAGATACAAAAATTTGACGAAAAATTTGGGAACAATTAATGAGATGCAGATTTTTGAATATTTAAAATCTGGGGGAAAAGGGTGGGTAAAAAAGATTGTTATGGCCCTTTTTACCCGGTTTTTAAATATTAAAAAATCTGTACAGTATCTCATTAACCGTTCCCAAATTTTTCTTCAAACACCTTTTTGTATCTTCGAAAAATCAGTTGTACTAGCAAAAAATACCTTTTTTCCCCCAGACACTATGAGGCGCCATCTGTTAACTTATTATTTAGCAAAAATAACATGGCAATTATATATTATATAAAATATTATATATTATATAAAAAATTATATATTATATAAAAAATTATATAATATATAATTTTTTATATATTATATAAAAAATTATATATTATATAAAATATTATATAATATATAATTTTTTATATAATATATAATATTTTATATAATATATAATATTTTATATAATATATAATTTTTTATATAATATATAAAAAATTATATAATATATAAAATATTTTTATATATTATATAAAAAATTATATATTATATAAAATACTATATATTATATAAAATACTATATATTATATAAAAAATTATATATTATATAATATTTTATATAATATATAATATTTTATATAATATATAAGTTTTTTATATAATATATAATTTTTTATATAATATATAAAATAATATATAAATATATAACGAAAAAACCAATGCCTATTTTCCTTGGCCATTTATTGAACACTTGGCGTTTGCCGAGTGTTCACTTATTATTTAGCAAATGTCCTTGATGTGTCTGACCATTTTTC